AGGCTTGGCAGCCGCCACGACCTGGAAGCAAACGCTCACACTCGGTGAGGTGGCTCTGTCCACCGTGCTGACCCGGTGACACTGTCCCCTGTCCCTTGTCCCCAGGGAAGGTCCTGCGGGCGCTGGACCGTGAGCGACTGACCAACCGGACCCTGGTCTACTTCACGTCCGACAACGGCGGCCGCCTGGAGGCCAGGGACGTCAGGGGACAGCTGGGGGGCTGGAACGGCGTCTACCGAGGTGACGGGCCACCCGCCTGGGGTGGCACGGGGTGGCTCGGTTGGGGTTAGGTTTCGGGCCAGGGTTAAGAACCCAAGGTCGGCCACCTCGGGCTGGCTTTGGGCGTTGGTGACAGCACTGAGGTTTGCTGCCATTTCCCCGAGATGGGCGCCATCTTGGATTTCCGGGTCTGTCCTGGTGATGTCGAAAAGTCGCTCAATGAACTTGACGTTTTCCCACGAGTCGCTACGGCGTTGAGTGTCGTTTCTTTGACAGAGCTGAGACTTTGGGCCCAAAAGGCCTAAAAGGTGACACTCAACATGTTTGTGGTCCCACTGACCTGTCCGTGGTCCCACATTGCTTTTGACGGGGGGAGATCAGCAGATGATCCCCCAAATGCCATAGCTGGCCCTCGGGGGCCGCCATGACCCCGCAGCTCATGGTAGGGTCCCATCCTTGGGACCCCAAATGAGTCCCCTTTTCCTGCAGGGCCACTTAGTTTGGAACGCGGGACTTTTCCCACCGGTGCTGTGGGCCGTGCGCCATCGCCGTAACGGGACTGCCTGGCACTTGGGGACGCAAGGTGGCGGGTGCTGGGCCCACGCTGACTTCCAACGCGGCTGAGTTCGTCCCGGGTGGGGACGGATTGACCGATGGGTGTCCCCTTCCCTGTCCCCCATCTTCCTTCTCAGGTGGCCGAGGCATGGGGGGCTGGGAAGGTGCCACCCGCGTCCCTGGCATTTTCCGGTGGCCCACGGTGCTGGGAGCGGGGCAAGTGCTCGACGACCCTACAAGTCTGATGGACATTTTCCCCACGCTGTGCTACGTGGGCGGCGGCCTTTTACCCCAGGACCGGTGAGCGCGGGGTCCCCGGGCCGGGCACAGGTGGCCGGGGTGGCGAGCGGGGGAAACACGGGCCCCGTCCGTCACGGGCGGTCCTCCCTTCCCTCCCTCCCCCCTCCCCCTCCCCTCCCCCTCCCCCCCCTCCCCCTCCCCCTCCCCTCCCCCCTCCCCCTCCCCTCCCCCCTCCCCCTTCCCCCTCCCCCCTCCCCCTCCCCCCTCCCCCCCCTCCCTCCCCCCTCCCCCTCCCCTCCCCTCCCCCTCCCCTCCCCTCCCCTCCCCTCCCTCCCCCTCCCCCCCCTCCCCCCTCCCCCTCCCCAGGACCTCCGCCTGCAAACGCACGGTCACTTATTTCTAGTAAGTGACCCGGGCGGGGCTCGGACCTCATCTCTTCGTCTCCCCTTTTAACGACGTCACATTTTGCCACAGCTTTATGTCTTGCGTTTCGTTTTGCATTTCGACGTCACATTCCCACGATGGCCGGCCTCGGCTCCCGGGCTGTGACTCTGCGTGTGACCCATGTCCAGCCTCGGTTCCCGGGCTGTGACTCTTTGATGTGACCATGTCCAGCCTCGGTTCCCGGGCTGTGACTCTTTGATGTGACCGATGGCCGGTGTCGGCTCCCGGGCTGTGACTCTGTGTGTGACCCATGGCCGGCCTCGGTTCCCAGGCTGTGACTCTTTGATGTGACCCAGGTTCTCGTCTCGCGTCCTCTGCGTGTTGCAGAGCGACTAACGCCAGTCACGGCCACGGTGACTTCACCCACAGGTCCTGGGGTCGCCTCATCCAGCGGGTGAAGGGGACCCCACTTTCCACACCCGACGCAGGCCGATTGCGCTGCGGACCCTGGGTTTTACTTCATTTCGGTGAATATCGTCACCGCTTCTGTCCCCCCCCCCGTGTCCCCTTGTCACCGCTTCTTGTCCCCCCCCGTGTCCCCTTTGTCACCGCTTCTTGTCCCCCCCCGTGTCCCCTTTGTCACCGCTTCTTGTCCCCCCCCGTGTCCCCTTTGTCACGCTTTCTTGTCCCCCCCGTGTCCCTTTGTCACCGCTTCTTGTCCCCCCCGTTGTCCCCTTTGTCACCGCAGGGTGATTGACGGGCAAACTGATGCCGCTTGCTGGAAGGACGCGCGTCCCGCTCGGACCATGAGTTCCTCTTTCCACTACTGCGGGACGCGCTGCGCCGTGCGCTGGCACCAGAGGGACTGTGAGCGGCCGGACGTGGGGACGGGGAGGGGACGGGGGCGGGGCGAGGTCACTGTGTCCTTCTTCTCAAGGGAGGGGATCCATGCAGGGACCCGAGGTGACAGAGAGACACAGAGAGGGGAAAGGAACGAGGGGACATGGGACCGAGCTGGCTGTCTGGCCTTGTCTTCCTGATGTCACCCTGGATGTGACACCGGCCTTTGGGTTTCTTGGGCTCCCGTGACTTTTGTCACTTGGAGACGCCTTGTGTCCAGCCACTGTCACCATAAGGTAACCAACCACTGTGACCAATTCCAACCCTGGCGTGGACCCCCGACTGGGTGACAAAGTCACCGAATGTCAGGAGAGTCACTTTCCGGGAAGGCCGTTGTTAGGGGCCGAGTCGCGAGGCCACCGCGAGGACGGGGTGGCCCTGACCTGCGTGTCACTGACTTTCCCAGGTGCCACCGTGTGGAAAGCTCACTTCGTGACCCCCAGATTCTGCCCAGTGGGTGCCGGCGCCTGCTATGACAGTGACCACTGTCCCTGCTCAGGGGACGTCGCCCACCACGACCCGCCGTTGCTCTTCGACCTCTCCAGGGACCCCGCGGAGAGCCAGCCGCTGAACCCCGAGGACGAGGCCTTCGACTCGGTCATCAAGAAGATGGAGGCGGCCATCAGGGACCATCGCCGGACTCTGACCCCGGCCCCCCGGCAGCTGTCCATCTTCAACACCATCTGGAAGCCGTGGCTGCAGCCCTGCTGTGGGACGTTCCCCTTCTGTGGCTGTGACAAGGAGGATGCCATCGTCCCCCAGCCGCTGTGACCGCTGCCACGCCACCCCGACTCTGCTCGGACCATCTGGGGCCCAGCATGGTGGACAGGAGTGTTGACTCATCCTCCATCCCTGTTGGGAAGTCGAGGAAATGGTGTTGACTCACCCTCCATCCCTGTTGGGCACGAGTATTGACTCATCTTCCATCCCTGTTGGGCACGAGTGTTGACTCACCCTCCATCCCTGTTGGGCACGAGTATTGACTCATCTTCCATCCCTGTTGGTCACGAATGTTGACTCATCCTCCATCCCTGTTGGGAAGTCGAGGAAATGGTGTTGACTCACCCTCCATCCCTGTTGGGCACGAGTATTGACTCATCTTCCATCCCTGTTGGGCACGAGTGTTCACTCATCCTCCATCCCTGTCGGGCACGAGTGTTGACTCATCCTCCATCCCTGTTGGGCACGAGTGTTGACTCATCCTCCATCCCTGTTGGGAAGTCGAGGAAATGGTGTTGACTCATCCTCCATCCCTGTTGGGACGTCAAGCATGGTCCAGCATGGCGGACATGAGTGTTGACTCATCCTCAAGGAAATGGTGGATATCAGGAAGTGACACAGGATCTCTGTGGTCACAGTAGAAGGGACAACTGCTACACCTTGCTCAGCCATGCTCTGTGTGCAATGCGTGTTGACTGACAATTTTTTCTCAGTAAAGCATTGTTGACTGACAATATTTCCCAACTGAGGATGTGTTGTTGACTGACATTATCTCTCAGCTTCTGCTATACCCGGCCGTATGCCCAGCGGTTTCCACGGGCATGAAAAGGATGCTTTTTGGGGTTTGCTGTTCTGGGTGCCGTGGTCTTCCGGCTGCAGCTCCAATTGGTAAAATCCTGGCCACCTGTTCTTTAAAAAAAGTGCATTTTAAATAATCATTCCTTTGGGTGGCACTCGGGTTTTGAACTTAGGACCTCGTGTGCGCCGGGCAGGTGCTCTGTCACTTGATCCCAAAGTCCCCGAATCCTAAAATGTAGATTTTACAGGGTGTCACCCCAGAGAGATGGAAAACAAACAGGTGATATGTGAGTGGCTTAGTGACTGTGATCTGCATAATTTTCAGTCATGTGAGCGTAAAACCTCTGCAGTGCTGTTTTCCATTCCGACTTCAAGTAAATTTCAGTAAAAATAGCAATCACTCCGATTTTTCGCGTCCTGTCGTTCCCTGGTAAGGGTGTTTTTCGCCACCGGATTAATTTAACCACTAGGGGGCACGGCCGACTTAAAATCTCTCACGTCGACTAACTTTTAAATAATCTGCACATTTATTTCACTTTTTTTTTTCTTTTTTACAAGAACTGCTGAATTTTCAACTCCATTCTTGGAAGGGAAACCTGCGAAGGAAAGAAAATTGATCCACGATTCACGGTCGCCACCAGGTTCCTGTGCATCTGAGGTGGCTCGCTCTCTCTCGCTCTCTCGTTCTGTGAATCTTTCTGTCTCGCTCTGTATATCTACATCAATCTATCAGTCAGTCAACTATCAACCATCAGTTATTCATCATCTATCAATTATTATCTATCAATTATATATCATCTCTATCCATTGATTGACTAATAGATGAATGGATTCATGCGTTGATTGACTAATAGATGAATGGATTCATGCGTTGATTGACTGTAGGTGAATGGATTCATGCGTTGATTGACTAATAGATGAATGGATTCATCCGTTGATTGACTAATAGATGAATGGATTCATGCGTTGATTGACTGTAGGTGAATGGATTCATGCGTTGATTGACTAATAGATGAATGGATTCATCCGTTGATTGACTAATAGGTGAATGGATTCATGCGTTGATTGACTGTAGGTGAATGGATTCATGCGTTGATTGACTATAGCTGAATGGATTGATCCATTGATGGTGTCTGAGCTGACGTTTGTTGACTGCATCCACGTGATGGAAGACTTTCTGACCAAAGAACGACGGCTGGCGGCCCCGGCCTGGTTATTCGTGGCGGTCGGAGAGGAAATGATGGTTTTAAATTCTTACCTCCTTGTCCCGGCTTGCTTTTTTTTTTTTGTCCTTTTTGTTCTTTGAAGAAATTTAACGTCAGAGACAGCTGCGAGCCTGGAAAACATCTACAGCAACGAAGAAGGAGTGGCTGGGTGCAGACGTCCGCGGGATTTTGCTTCCAAAAGGCGGGAATGTGATTTTTCTGCAAGCGTCTTTGGCCCTCTGTCCATCCAACTGCTGCCAAGACAGGAGGAAAAAGAGAAACCGTTAGATGATTTTGATGTCCCTAATGTTGATAAATCCTTTGGTAATTCCCCTCCGTTTTATTAGGCAATAAAGCGCTGGTGGATCTGCAGAGTCCGTCTGTAGGATTTTTTGTTTGGGTTTTTTTTTTTTTCCTGGCAACCTCGTGCTGTCGATTGGATTTAACGTACACGGCGCACAAAAGATAAAATCACAACGCCGGTCCGGGGGTTGTTGATGACTTCGTGATGGAAAGGAATATTATACGGCCACGATCACGGTTCCCAACCTCGCAAACGTTGACAAAGCTTTGTGCACGTTTTCAGTAATTTGAATGCCTTCATTTCTTCTTTGGGTTTTTCCTTCGACGCACAGACAGACAGACGGACCCAACCAGCCTGCAGACACTCAAAACACCTTTTCTTCCCTATATTTCCACGCCAATATTTCTTTATTTTAATTTATTTCTGTGTTCACACCCACCAGCCATGTCACACAGTTTGCTGTGACACAAAATACTCGGGACCAAAATGAGAATAAAGTGAATAATCAACCGTTCATCCTACCCAACCGTGCTGTTCATGGGAGAGGACATTGGATGGCTGCTCTTGCAGACAGTCAAGGTCACCTTGTCCCATGGCTGGCGTCCCCAACAAGGGGAAGCCAGCACCTCCATGCAAAGACATTTCCTTCCTGTGGCTTTGCCACTGTCGATCTAGTAGTCAGTCAATGACCACTCCTGGGTAGGGGTGTCAGAAACTGGAGGAGACCTCCTTGCTTATGGGGTGTAGCTTCTTCACCAGGGAAAAGGGGCAGGGAAAAAAGTTTTTTTTTCAAAAGCAAGAACTCAGTTTGCAGGAAAACACGGCAGCTTTGGGTTTTTTTTTTTTTCTCCCACCAAAGTGATAATTTTATTTTATTTTTTTCTGAAAGGCAATGCAGAGGAAAACCCGCGGAAAACATTGCATCGCGTCGCGTTGCGTTTGCACCCTCGCTGCAAACCCGAGCTCCTCCTGCGGGCCTGAGCCCAGCTGTCTGTCCCTCCGTCCGTCCGTCCGTCAGTCCCTCTGGGCAGGAGCCCCTCCTGGCTTGCTTGTTGCTGGGAGGAAAAAGAGCGAGCTGCAGGGTCGGGTTTCATGGCAGGCGAGGTGCAGAACAAAGAGAGGCTTTGTGAGGGGGGAGAGGAGAGAAGAGAGAGAGAGAGAGAGAGGGAGGAGCTGAGCGAGGCCGGGCCTGGGGCTCAGGGAAGGAAAGGCTGTGCAGGAGCAGCTGGGGTTTGCACAGTGGGGTTTTTGCAGATTGGGGTTTTTGCCGGGGATTTGCATGCTGGGGGTTTGCATGGCCGGGCTTTGCACATTTTTGTTTGCAGAGTGGGGTTTGCGGGGTGGGGTTTGCACATTGGGTTTTGCAGAGCGGGGTTTTGCAGGGGGTTTGCGGGGGGGGTTGCACATTGGGATTTGCACACTGGGGTTTGCACATAGGGTTTTGCACAGTGGGGTTTTACATAGTGGGGTTTGCATAGTGGGATTTGCACACTGGGGTTTGCAGGGTGGGGTTTGCAGAGTGCACAGGGAAAATGCACTGATTTCTGCAATTTTAAGCCCCTACAGGACGCTTCTGGCTCAGATGCATCCTGCAGGGACGGGGGTGGGGGGTGGGGACCCGGTGACAGCGCCACGGCCGTGACGTCCATAGCTGGGGGAGGCCCAGGGATTTCGGGGGTGCAGAGCCATTGCTTTTGCTCCTCAGAGAAAATGCTGAACCCGCATATGTTTCGGTCTCGATGAAGACATCAAAGGAGGTTTGATGACTGCATAATCGATCCCTGGGCTTGGCAGGCCGACGCCTTTGTGAGCGAGGGGAGGAAATGAAGTTGAGGTTTTTCAAAGTAGGGCAGAAGGAACAAAAACGGGGACCCAGCGGGAGAGTCAAGCTCCCTCCTGGTGTACGGGCCGAGTCAGCTGTCAATCATGCATCCATGGTGGGCGGAGTCAGTGATGTCACTCATGTATCCGTGGTGGGCGGAGTCAGTGATGTCATTCATTCATGCATCCATGGTGGGCGGAGTCAGTGAAGTCACTCATGTATCCATGGTGGGCGGAGTCAGTGATGTCACTCATGTATCCGTGGTGGGCGGAGTCAGAGATGTCATTCATTCATGCATCCATGGTGGGCGGAGTCAGTGATGTCACTCATTCATGGATCCATGGTGGGCGGAGTCAGTGCTGCAGTCAATCACAGGTATCCATGGTGGGCGGAGTCAGTGCTGTCATTCATGGATCCATGGTGGGCGGAGTCAGTGCAGCCCACAGGGCTGCCATTGGACGGACCCTGCGGGGGCGGATATCACTCGCACTTCCCCCGGAAGCTGAGCTCGGGACATATATGGTAATGTCCCCTTGCCTCCCGGGGTCTGGGTTCGGGACTTGTCCTAGAGTCCTAGGATCCCCGGGGGGACGGGGGCGGCTCTGGGCTTCCGTGTTTACGGTAGACTCCATTTGCACCCGAGGACTGAGCACAGGCAAGCTCCTGCTTTCACTGCAAGGCCTGGGCCAGGCGGTCCCCTATTTACTTCTCATGGACTTAGATCACCGCCGTGGAGACATACGCAGCCGGGAAAAAGGCTGGCCAAGTGCTGCTGAGTTTCCTCCTGCAGAAGGAGGACCGTGGCGCCTCCCGGTGGCCGGGAGGTCGGTGCAGACACAGCACCCTCGTGTGAAGTGGCTGACGGCTTCCAAAAACCCGGGCTCAGCTTCCCAGATGACGTGGGACCGTCAGCCATAGTGACCAACATCCGGGTCCTTTGTCTAGGGGGCCTTGGAGCTGTGATTGACAGCTACGGACCTGTCAATCAGGGGCGGGGCCGGAAGAGGCGGGGCAAGGGAGTGTACCGTACATACGGTAATATCGGCTCCTCTTCCGCCCTGGGGGGGGGAGAAAGCGGTCTACCGTATACACGGTAGTAGAGCCGCACGCCCGCGTCCCAATCATCTATAAGTCACTCAATGGGCAGATGGGGCCGGATCAGTCTTCCCTGCTGCATGCCTCCTCCTCCATGCTGGCTGCCGGGTTTGCCACGACCCTGAAAACAAGTTAAAATTGCATTTTTTAGGCAACAAGACCCAAACAACTTCCCAGTGACATTTCATTTATTTATTTATTTTGACAGAGGATCTGGACTTGCCCTAAACAGAAAAAAAGGAAAAAAAAAATTCAGGGTCAATTAAAACCAGGTGCAAATGTAGAAAGTTTCATTTTCTTTGGTTTTACCCAAATGACTCCAAATTCCTTTGATTTGTTTATATGGGGCGGGGAGGAAGGGAGCAAGGCTCAAAAGTTTGCGTTCTGGTTCAAAGGAGGCGAAAGCTTTTTGCATTTTCTTGCAGCTGGTCGCGTGGACGCAGCATAGGTCTTTCTAATTTTTCTTTTTTAAATTTGAGCTCAAACGCCAAAAATTGCGTGTGTGTGTTTTAACTGAGTATCTTATCTGTGAGGATTTTGCGGGTGGTTACTGAGTCTGGAAGCATTTAGGAGCAAACTCACAAAACTGGCGAGATTTTACATTTTTTTTTTTTTTTCACAAAGCTATTTTTGCTTTTGAACAAAATATTCTGTATCAGGGTTTGAAGATAGCAGACTGACTATTCGATGGTATAATTGTTGACTGAATAACTTCACTTCCGGTGCCCCTGTTTGTTGTGAGACACAGAAACCGGACCCCACTGCAAAACTGCACACGGCCCGCCGTCGAAGCATCATCAAACGTTTAGAGAAATTTCTTTAAGAAGCGACCCCGAGTTACAAGCGGATTGCAAGCCGTGTAGACCTGGAAGTCTGGTCTCGGCCTCAGTGGGTTTTTCTGTTTTGTTTTCCACAAGAGTCTTCTCAGAAATGAGGTCTGTAATGAAACTTGGCTGTTTACACCATTTAGGGG